AATTACTTAATACAGTCGCGGAGCTAATATTCTAACAGAGAATTTCGCGTCCGACCGGCGGCGTCCGCGTAAAATGAAGACTTAACGAGGCGGGCGCACAAAAGGACCCGGTCCAGGGACCGATCCGCTAATTAAGCAGCGACGAGCCGTCGACAAATTCCTCCGGCGTGAAAAGCGACACTCGAAAATGGCCGGAACCGCCTACGCCTGGCCATCGACACGACATTAATCGCTATCCGATCGCCGATAACAGATCCACCTACCGTAAGGACATTAATTGCGCGCGCCCGGGCCCACCGGTATCGCGATCGCTCGAGCGTACGTGTGTCACAATATCGCGGCACCATAATGATATCAATTCACTGATAATCGCCGTTAAGCCGTGTCCATAAATTACCGGCCGCGCCCGGCGACACCTGACAGCTTTTACCGGACCCCGAAACCAGTGAGTCACATTATACCCGCCGCTCTTTCGTCGCCACCGTTGGATAATCGGCAATTGATCACGGCCATCTTGGAGAACTTTTCACCGTTACCCTTTGACACCTGTGTCCGCTATTGTTCGCCGTTTATCCGGCCGTTGCGAACGGGACGCTGTACATCGACGTAATTGGAATTTATTGTCGATACTGCCAGGCTTTCTAAAAATAGTTTGTTGAATTACATGGAACGATGTGGATGATTTTCGAGGTTAGAAATCGTTAACGAATTTTGGAAAATAGCTTCAGGTTACTGAAACTAAACGAGTTTCTTTTCTACAGGTGACTTTAGTTTATTTTATCGAAAAATCGTCTGATACTAAGCTGGTTTATTAATTAACACTAAAACTAGTTGAGAATGTTTATTTTCTAAGTATCTCGATTCTCAAGGCGCTCTTGCGAAAGATTTTCAATTAAATTAGACCTGTACAGATACAAACCTACGAAACCCTCTGAATCTCGGGAAACCTGTTCTAATATTTATGCAAAATTGGAAATAAATCACTCTAATTATTCAGTAGTTCTAGTGTTAAAACTAGACAATATTCTCGAGAAACCTGTTCCAATATTTATGCAAAATTGGAAACAAATCACTCTAATTACTTAGCAGTTCTAGTGTTAAAACTAGACAATATTCTCGAGAAACCTGTTCCAATATTTATGCAAAATTGGAAACAAATTATTGTAATTACTCCGTAGTTCTAATGTGAAAACTAGAAAATATTCAAACGAACACGTAGAAGGCAATTGAAAAATTCCGTTGTTCATCCTATTAACCTTTAGCACTCGAAAGTTTTTCACTCGAAATATTCTATACTTTCTAATTTCATACAAACAAGATTCTTTAAAAAGAATTTAACAATAAATCATACATAAATTAGGTAACAAAACTATTTCTTGTAACAGCTCACATACTGACACAGTATACAAAGGTTAATGGTAAATCCCAAAATTTATAATATTGCCGGATTAAATCATCCGGCGACTGGGAGTCGCCTCTCGAGTGCAAAGGGTTAATGATACGATGGAAAATGATACCGACGAGACACAGAGTGTTCAATAAAACATTGTGTCCAAATGACGATTTAAATTCCCCTCACCTTGTTGGAATTTAAATAGTTATAAAATAGTTGTTTCCTCGAAATACACACGAGGTGTTAATAGATCAATTAAAAGTTCATCTGCCAAGAATTTATCGTTCTCCGGGAGTTCCTTTAAAACACGGCGAACAATCCATCCTATTGTCTTTCAATTCAGCTTTTAAAGATAAAAGTCCTCCGGTATGCCACGCGCGAGTATATTTAATTTCGAGGCTCCGCCATACTCGAAGAAAGATCCTCGGCGCACAAGGTACCGCTGATCACGAGACGAAACGAGTCGAACCGGCGAGCGGCGTTTCCCAGCAAATCCGGGCGACAGTTTTCGCCGCCGGAAGATCGGCAGCTCCAAGACTCCCACGTGCCGGGGCCGTTCCCGCGGCATCATTATTCTCTATTCACGATTGGAACTGGGTCAGGCGACAGTTTATCAAACGAACTGCAACGTATCTGCGACGACTGTTCCGCGATGGAATCGAGAGCCCGTCCGCAGAAACGACAAATTGTTTCGAGCATCGCCCCCCGGCCGCCGATGAAAAACTGCTTCCGGAAAATTCAATTCCGTTCGCCTATGGGACTTGCCTCTCGAGCGGGAACCGATCGATAGGCGATCGCAAATCTTGTCACGTTCCATTCAATATTATGTTAGTTCGATGCCGCGCGTATATAATGCATCTGTTTCTTCGGAAACGACGCAGTACGCACAAACGGTGCAATTAACGTGTGTGAAATTGACTTTCAAATGAAGCTGATTCGAGAGATTCTTGACGGGATTCTTGGTACTTTTTACTTGGTAATTTCTTCTGAAGTCTATTTTAATAACGTCCTTCTAACAATGAAATTACTGATCAGGTAAAATGACTTTTTGAAATTCTATAGCAATTCTTGAGTATTGGAACTTTGATTTAACATTCAGTTTGCGCGTTGCTGCTTCAATTTCTCTAATTTCTCAGAGAAATATCCCCTGCCCTTTTAACCCTTTGCACTCGAGAATATTTTTCTCAATAAATATCCATTATTTTCTGATGAAATGTCAATAATACTTTTTGCAATTAACGTAAAGAAATACCTTGCATAAATTAAGTGACAGAACTATTTTCTTTCGATGTTCCATGAGTTCGTGCATTATATAAAATTTAATATTGAATTTTCAATTTTACAATGTTCTTGGGTCAAACCAAATGCAAGAATTAACTGCAAGAAAAATCAATCAATCAATGATAGATATTATTCACTTCTCTGACTATTATTCCTAATTACCATACACCTATAAATTAACTCTTCCAAAAACACTAGTCCACCATTCAGATTAACAATCCTACATTCACACAATATTCCCTAATAAGATTCCTATTCAAAATCCAAGTGCACCAAAATTAAAACGAACCAGTGACTTTCTACAATCACCAAACCAACAGCAACTCAATCTGCAAATGGTTCCAGACACACGAAACACGGGACACATCAAACGAAAGAATCGCCCGACGCCGCGTCAAAGGGTGAAGTTGCTGAAAAGCCCTCGGAGAAACGCGTTCGATCGCGGAGTGAGCAGACGATTCCTGATAACAGATTTCCCTGGCAAGAAGCGCCGTGGTTACGAGCGTTTCGACGCGCGGAGTAGAAGTAGCTGCGGCGGATCTCGAGCGTGTCATCGCGGAAAAGTGGTCTCCGGTGAAATCGCGCGGTGTTGATTTAAAAGGAAACGCGATTACACGCCGGCGAAGATTGCCGGTAATCACGGGCGCACGTGACCGGCGTAGGATCCGAGCGGACGGGAGCGGAGTCGCGGATCACTTTCCTTAGGCTTCGGTTTCTCGTTTACACGTTCGTTGTTATCGGCGATCGTTTCGCTGATAGCCGGACCAGCGGTTCTTCGATAGTTTCTCGGAGCGTTTGTTGTTTCTAATAATATCGAAAAGAAACTGGAACTAAAAATTAGAATTAATTAATTCTAATTAATTAATTAGTTCTGTAATTCTTATTCCATAATCACTGAAACCAGCTGCTTCTGTCACGAATTACAAAGCAAATCCGCGTATTCGCACGAATAAAATAGTACGAAGCACTTCGAGTCTCGAGAGGTGTACATTTTTAACTTGTTCAAGACATCGCGAAGAATTCGTTCTAATTGCTCGGTAGTTGCAGCGTCGAACGCGAATCAATGGGTCTTATCGCGGGCACCGGGGAAACCGGCGAGCGAGTTTCCCCGGCGAACAATGAGGAGCGATCGATCGGGCTCTATCGGTTTCAAGGGTAGCGCGGAGTCGAGCAAGAAGAAAGGCAACGACTTCCCCCGGCTCGGCCAATACGCCGGCCGGTCAAACTTTCGATTAGTTTCACGGCCGTGCCCGTGGATTTACCTGCTCGAAATAACTCGAATCGAACCCGCCGCGCTCCAAGGATAAGCGTATAAATAGACGGGACGTTTCGGCGACGCCTGAAACCGTTGGACATGCTATTTTCTTTCGCGCGGAATTTATTCCAGATCGGGCGAGGCAATGTTTGAATGAGGCCGGTTGATCTTGCCGGTTGTTTGGAGATACCGAATGACCAATGATTGTTTAGAGATTGCACCTGTGTACACGAGTTTGACACGTTGAAGATTGTTAACGTTCGTCTGTGATCAAGAATCCGTTTCGAATAAGATTCGGTTGTCGATCGTTTGAGACTATCTGAGATTGTTTGACCTTGTTTGATGATTATAAATTTCAAAGAGACTTGGAATTTGTGGTTCGGAGACTAACTTCTCAAGAAATGACTTTCGCGTCGATCGAAGGATACTCTACTAGAAACTTATGCGCGAAATTCATACGAAATCAGTTGACTGAAGCAGTCAAGCTCCACCGAACAAGGCCCAACAAAGGCGGTCTTCATTTCCATCGGGAGTATCGAGTCTTCCGCGGTTTTCCGAGCGAAACGCGGCTCAAAAGCCGCTATCGAGCCGTGAAACTCGTACGGCAGGATTGAAAGAGCAGGTTTCATTCAGTTTTTTCAGGGGCGGGGCGCCGGAACGGGGAAAATAGGGAAGAAAGAAACGCCGGTGTACGTCGTTGGATACGTTCCATTAACGCGGCGACAAAGTTTCCGTCGTTTCTGTGGGGCGCGAAATTGTGTTCTGCCGGGCAGCGGCGGCGAAAGCCGATACACACGAAAGCAAGTCGATTCGGTTGAACGACAGCCGCGATATGACCACGGGAAAGAGAGGGAGAGAGAGAGAGAGATAACGTTGTATCGGCGAGAAAATTGACTTATCGACCAAGTCCCAGACTCTCAACGACAGGACGGTTAAGTTAAAGGCAAAGTTTCGACGTTTACCGGTCGAACGCGGCGTATCGTGGCCGATCGAGCACCGAAACCGATCGCCGGCGGCCGATTTTCCATGGGAAAATTGAAACGGTGGTTGCTAAAGTAAACGATTGCTCACCTTCATTATGATCTCCAGGTCCGCTGAGTTCTCGGTGGGTCCAGGTCTCGAGTTTGTCCCCTGAAACAATAGAGATTCGATTGAATATCCGCGACGCTAATACCGATTAGTAGGTTTTCATTATTTAACACTAGATTTACGAGCCGATTTAACTCGTATTGAATTTTGTAAGTATTCGGTAAGCGTTTGGGTCGGTTTTTATTGAAGCAGTTATGCAAATATGTATCTTAATTGTCTAGTCTTGAACCTTTAATCAGTGATAACAATAATATTAGTAAATCTAGTGTTGAGAGAAATTTGAAACGGTTTTTGGCAACCATTTTCTATGGCAATCCTATTTTTGTAACTTTATTGAACAGTTTGATTTACTGTAAATTCAGTTTGTATTAGTATCAGGTTTCGATGTCTGAAATCTGTGAATTTTGAATGTTTCTTATCATATCTAATATTGAATATCTTTGAAGTGACATTACGAAGAACTTTTCTGATCGATGTAAGAGCTTCTGAGTGTTTATTCCGTCGAATTACTCGCGTTTGACATTTCTTAAATATTCAGTACAGTCGAAGATACGAGGAGATTGCAGCTAATAGCGCTCCCCGCCCTCGTCATTATTATTTCAAGCGTATCGCTGAACCGAAGACCGCGGCAAGGTTAAGAAATTGTATCCAGCTGCACGGGGAACGCGTGTCTGTTTGCTGAATGCGTTTCGCGAAATGTTCAGAGCCGGTTAAAGGAATGTAAACACTCTGCGACATGAAGCTGTGCAAACTCCGCCAACAAGAGAGAATTAAAACGATCCTTTACAGTCCTATTGCGCTTATTAACTTCTTTCCGGGTTTCCTGCGGAAGCTCTGCGAATTATTCGCTCTCTACCTTTATTATCTTAGCGTACACCTTACCACTTTGTATTCAACGCTCGGTAAACAATCGAAAAGTGCAATTAGTTCCTGTGTACACGATCTCGTAACTTACTATGAAAATCCATGATTACAGTGGAATTTCTGATATTGAATTTAAATCTTTCATAATCTGAATAAATTCGTAATAGCGTAAACAATAATTATCCCCATTGTTCAATAATAAACATTCACCTCCGTGGCAATTAACCCTTCGCACTCGAGAATATTTTTCTCAACGAATATTCATTATTTTCTGATTAAATATCAATGATATGTTTTACAACTAACATAAAGAAATACCTTGTATAAATTAAGTGACATAAATAGTTTATTTCGACGTTCCATTATATAAAATTTCATATTGAATTCTAAATTTGATCATTTTGTTCGGTCAAAGGGTTAATCCCTCGCTCAAGCTTTTGATGACTTTTAAGATAATTTCGTATTATTTCTTTACCTTACCATTAATATTCTTTAACAGATGACACAAAAATTTCGCGTGTACCATGAGTGGACACTGTTTTATATTCGAAGTAATCGCTTCAACTGATCAAAGGGTTAAATTAGTCTAGAAATCTTGCGAGTCTCGCTCGTCATTGTACGGGGTTAATGAAAATTCACACTGTTCCCTATCAACTACCCTTTCAACTACATTCCGAACAAAACAGTTCAAACAGCACAATATCTTCGAAAACAAGATTCTACGAGGAATTCGTGCAAAGGGTGAACGTGTCACAGGGTTAATCGTCGACGACCCTGTCGGACGCGCGAACCGGGACGTTTACGCGGTTGTTAATTAAAAAACGATCCTAGTCGAGGACAAATCCGAGTGGTCCTGGGTGGAACTCTCGCGTCGCGTTCGTCCCTCGATTTATCACGGCCTCCAGGCCGATCATTAATCAACCTGGCCTCTCTTTTCTCCTTTCCGCCGCGCCGCGGAGGAAAACCGGCAGAAGGGGGCGCCGGGAAGAGTGACAACGCTGCCGGGACCGGCAGATATTACGAGTTACGTCGAGTAGTCGCTTCTCGAGAGGCGGACGCGAAGACAATGGGGAAAAACGCGTGGTCCGCGTGACGCCGGCCGGCTGAAACGAATAGGGGAGGTTTCATCCCCGAGACGCCGCGACGCGCAGTGCGGCCAAACGGTTTCTGGACAAAACTCAATAACTTGACACTGAAACTATCAGATGAGTAAAATTACTCAATCTTGATGCCTTTGTGCAATTAACACTGAAACTACCAGATAAGTAAAATTAATCTTAATGCCTTTGTGCAATTGTTGAAAAGATAAATGTTTCTCTGAGGAATGGTTGAAGACATTGATTTAGTAATAGGGGAACTGAATTGTAAATCAATTAACACGTTAAGCGCTTCGAAAATTCTTTTGTAGCAAAATAAACCAGGAATAGCTATTAATTATTTGGCGTTACAATCTTTGCATTACATTATTGTCAATTTAGTTACGTTATTAACCATGTTCATTCGACATCAGTTTTCTGGCATGTCACGATTGTTTTCAACTACGAAAATTCTTTTGTAACAAAAGAAAGCAGGAACAATTATTTGGCGTTACAATTATTAATTGTATCAATAATGCACTCTTGGAGTTTCTATAGAGGAATTCCAAAAAGTCTGCTCAAAGTCAAATTCAACTAGTCGGTAGTTGTAGTGTTAAAAAATATGAGTGATAGGAAAGAAGACAAAAATTGTAAGGTATAGAACTAAACCATGGTGCTCGTATTTTGTTTAGACATATTTAGTTTCTTCATATTACGAAGATTTTCCGATGCTAATGGATACTTTGCGTCTCGATTCCAACGTTGTAGAGAAACGGAGTTTACTCGCGCAAGATGTTTATTTTTGAAATAAGAATCATTTCGTATAGCAAGAACCAATTAGCAGCACATTGGTAACTTTCAATTTTCGTTATTTAAATAGTCGAATTTTCGAGTTTTGTCAATAAACCGCCACTGCGCGTTGCGGTGAAACTAAGCAGCCAGGATGATCGCGAGCGGCGGGGGCAGGGGCACGTGAAAAATTGCGGAAGCGGAAAAGCCGGTTGATAAGTTGGACGAAAGGAAGCCGCGGGATCGTTAGAGCGCACGGAGGAACCTCTAGCCGGCTCGAGTTGAATGGAATTCAAGTATGAGTGACGCACGGTGTACAGAGGAATATAGGGGTAGTTTGCATATTACGCTAGCCTGTTCCGGGATTAGAGTTACTCGAAGAATCCTGTGGGTTCTGGAGTTTCTGCGGTTTCTGGTCCGCAGTTCGGATTTTCATCCGGTGGAAGATCATTTTCAGAACCTTGGGGATTTGAATTTTTCAGCGTTTCGGATCTCGGTAATGAATATTTCGTCGGGCATTGGAACTCTACGGGTTCCAGGCTCGTAGCTGATTCTTCTATAATTCAGAGACTTTCTCTGAAACGATTCTCCCAGTATTAATTGCCGGCGAACTCCGTAATAAAAGCGTTCGTAACACCGAGCAAACCGTGAGCTCTGTTTCAATAGAATCTCGGTTACTCCTCGCTGCGTTGGTCTTCTCCGTTGAACAATCGTGTCTTGAAATGATCCTCCTGTCGAGTCTAAGCGAATTAAATTCGAATCACCAACCGCAAATATTCTTATAGAAAGAAACCATATGGAAATCTGCTGCCCTTTCGTTCATATTTCTACGAGCGAACCTACGAGGTACACTTTCAAACTTCAACTGCCGAGTAAACACTCGCCGAAACTCTTACTCGGTCGAAACGGACTTTTTAACAAACCGGGAACTGAGAAGTCAAGATTCTTCGTAACGATTGCTGTATCTTTCTTACGTCTCGTATATCCAACAAAATTCAGTTCCTCCATACGTTATCAAGGAAATTGTTTCAGTTCACAAAAAATCACTCAAATTCAAGTGACATGGCAGTCGAAGAGTTAAACAACCCCAAATTGTTTCCACCCCGAACGATCTAGCAAGAGATCAAAGAGCATCGACTTCTCGAAGAGATATTCGGTTCATCCGTACATTACCAAGAAAATTGTTTCAGTTCACAAAAAATCCCCCAAATTCAAGTGACACGGTAGTCGAAGAGTCAAGCATCCCCAAATCCTACTCGCACTTTCGCTTTCCGAGCGAAACGAAATTCTCTGCTGGTTTCCCGAACAAAAACGAGAGGCGAACGTTTCCACGATCTAGCAAGAGATCGAGGAGCACCGACTTCTCGAAGAGATAAAAGACAACCAGTGAAAGGTAGTGGGGGTTGGAACGAAGAAAAACGGGGAAGGAAGAAAGAACCGCGGGAATCAATTTTCCCCAGTGTGGAGGAGTCGAGAGGTTGTCGGCGTTTCCACGGGCAAGCCTAATTGCATAAGTACATCGGCGGAGAGTGGCTCTCTTTCTTCCCGTCTCTCCCCGCAGGGAGGAGCGCGCGCGACAGAGAAGACAGGACGACGCGGACCGAATCGGGGAAGCCTGGATCGATAGTCAATCTCAATGAAATTTGCACCTCGAGGAGTCACGCGTAATAGGGCTCAACCGAACTCGAACCCGAAGCAGGCGGCACCCAGACCACCCGTGTGCCCGCCCCCGCCCCCTGAACGTGTACCCTCTTCGAATCCGGGATTTCCATTGAAAAGCAATTCGTTTCCTGTCAACGAACCTGTCGACGGCGACGCTTTCATCGAGCGCCGACCCCGGAAGACGCTACCACGCGGGTTAGATAGCGCGAGACGCGGTAATAACCTGTTTATTGTCGCTTCGCGCCGATTAACCTGTTAACTGTGGAATTTCGCTGGAAAAACCTCTCGTTCCGCGCGCTATGGAATAAACAGATGGAGAGTGTACTTATCGAACGCGAGAGGAATGCTCGTAGAGTGTATTTTAATGGGAGATCAAAGCGAAACAGAGGATTACATGTTTTTGTGAGAATAAAGAATTCATTGTTGAAAGAATTAGTATCATGTCAAGCTTTAACTCAAGACATTTCGGCGAGATCAAATTTCCATATTTGGAAGAGCAACTAAACAAAGGATTCAATTACTCAAACGGCAAGAGATCAGTGTATAATTTCTTTTCTTTTCATTATTTAATCAATCTATATAATTTAACTGCTGAAGGTTTCGTATATTTCAAATCATCGTCCGCAAAGGGTTAATCGTTTGAGTGCCATAAGTGTTTCTGACTCATTTCTGAATCAAAATATACCGAGTTCAGAAACTGAATCACATTTCTATGTTTACACAAAAATGTAAATAGCTCGAACATTCCGATTTCTCATTTCCAAGCGGGTAGTGGGACGAATAAATAATTAGAAGGAAGACAAATGAACAAACTTCATTTGATTCTACGATAGGCTGGCACTTTTAGACAGTGCAACGGAGAAGCGCCATCGTGCCGCTTGGCACACAACCGGTAAGGGGGCGTTGTGTAATGGATGGAACGAGAGAAAGTTTCGTTGTCAGAGTGAGTAGATTGAAGTTTTGTTCCTAGCGTCGTTTCAGTCGAATGATTATTAATTCTACACAGCGTCGTAGCTTAAGCGAAATGAAATGTAACGCGTTTAGCGAATCAATGTGCTCGAGTTTTACTTTTTAGACGCGATTCAGGGTAATTTGGAAGTGCAAAGAGTTAATGAATATCGGACAGTGATAACTGTATTTGTTTAATGAAATAAATGTTTGATTCACTCGAACGCAATCTATCGTTCAACCAATAGTCACTGATTGCTGAGAAGCTATCGAACGAGAGTGGACAATTAGGCGAAGACGTTCGGGCAGCGGCGAGGGGTGGAAGCGCCCCGATCTTGAACCGAGCCACAACAACATTGTTATTCGGGTTCGTAGATGTTCAAGAGGAAATTCGAATAACTGGCACGCCAGTATTTTGCGTGCTCGCATACCGTTCTGTCCATAAATTACTCCATATGACGTCACCGCTGAATTGTCGAGCACACAAGTCTGAGGTAATCATTTAACATGCTGACTGGCAGCTCCTGCGGTCGTAAAAATGTCAACAAAGTTAAAAGCCGTTCCACCGAAACGATAACCACGCTGGCCAGACTTTGATACCGTAATTATGCAACCTTGACGAATCCATTTCGCTCGACGCTAATTTTCGTTTACCAACTTTTGCACGAGTACACCGATAAACAGAGGAACGTCGATTTTTAGATCGAATGTTTTCGATTAGCGGAATAGACGCGTGGAATGAAATATAAATAGAAATTTTCAGATTCTATTGTTTATCGATGGTGTAGGTTGGATCTCTAGGTTTTCGATTAATTATTGTTTTCCCGGCTGAACCGCCGGTAGGAAGCCCAGCTGGTGCTCAACAATTCAAGTCAGCTGCCAAAAGCCGAGCAGTTACTTATAGTCTGTCGCTGGCTTTTAAATCTGTCAACCATAGGAACTTTCAACCGCGAACACCAACAGGAGCGTAACTCGAGACGAACGGAATTAATGTAACGGAAATTTAGCCGCGATAAACGTCAACGTAGCGATGGAACGGAATATCGCGATTCCGTGGTATTGCGAACGCATCGTAACAAGTCCCGTTATTTGCCCGCGCAATGCGAACGACAAACATATAAATTTCCGCAATCAACGTGTCAACAAGTTAAACACCCAACCTCAAGGAGAACGTCTAAAAGCAGCGAGACTATTTAAAAAACACTAGTCGCAAACATTCGTGCGCTAAAAACAGTCTTAAACGAGAGTTCAAATCAAAATAGCTCCGATTGTCTCTGAACGAATGAACCTCTTGAACCAGTGAAACTCAGGAAGTTAGTTTTATCAATCTAATGTTCTATATAATTTCAGTACATCTATAGATATCGGTGAAATCTAATGTATATTGAAATAAAAATCTAAAGCAAACAAACGAAAGATGAAATGAGCAAAGTAAATGAAAAACAATTACAGGTATCAACTTGTATCACTATGAAAAGCTGAAATATCATATTATGTAACATATTTTAAATCGACAGTTCTAATCAAATTCAATATTTTCTTAAAGGCTATGATAATTAGCAGTCACATAGCTATGTATCTATATGCTCTTGGTTTCTCACTTTGAGGTTCACGTTAGTTCATTCAATTATAGCTTAATGTGACGCTCTATTTATTTATTCAAGAATATTTGGGAGTCATTGAAATGTCACATTTACCGTCACCTTTAAATGGTACAGTTGTGACTACAAATAAATATAGAAAAATTTTTAAAACAGCAAAACTATGAAGTTGAATATTTAGTATTTTAAATTGAACTTTGTATTGCTATAGGGAATATTCAAATAAAATAGCTTTGTCGCTTAATTTATCTACGAATTATCGTTAAATTAGTTTCAAACTATAGCATCTATATCTCGTCGAAAAATGTGAAATGTCTCCAGTGAAAAACTTTCGAGTGCAAAGGGTTAAGATTCCTCCGAATCCTCCAACCTCCCACGACCCAAGCTGCGGCTCAGTCAAGGTCCATGAGAACGATCATAAACCGAGCATCCACATCGCAACAGTCGCTCTAATTTCATCGTTGCCGCGTGCGGCCGGCTGCTCGGCCGAGTAAATGAAAGGCGAAGCGACGCGAGGCGAGGCGAGGCGATGGTCAGGCCGTTAACAAAGCGATCGCGGCGGAGGTGGCAAGGTGGACGCGGGATAGTTGGCATCGCGCCTGCGAGTCTGGGGACCACCGGGCGACCCGCTGCCTCACGCCGGCCGGACAGGTAGCAGAAAATACACGCACCGAGCCGGCGACATTTTACTCGCGGCGTAAACAAGAACGGGGCTAGTAGCAGGATGGACGGTTCTACAAGAGAACATGGTAGATCCGCGATACCAAGACAGCGCCCGCAGTCCTCGAATTGCTCGATGGACAATGACCGAGCTGATCAGCGTTTGTAACGTTATTACGTTGTTAGTGGAATTGATAATTGCTTTGGTTTTAACGCTTTGCGGACGTCGATGTTTAGTCGAGATCACACTTTAGGAAACAAGTTGTAAAAGATAATTCAAGTAGCAAGATCGGTGGTTTCCTTTCTCGAACGATTCCTTGAATACTTCAGGTGGAAGTTTCATTCGAAGATAATACATTGATAATAGCAAAATAGTGGGTAACGAACATTGATTCTTGTTAAATTAGTCTAGAAATCTTCATCGCGAGTCTCACTCGTCATTGTACGGCAAGGGTCAATGAACCTCCGTCGCAAAGGGTTAACTAGTCACTAGTTCCTAAGGAGTCTACATCAGAAGACTCTCCAAAAGCTTCCAAATACAAAGTGTCTACAATAACAAACGATCTAACTTCACAATAACTACCACTTACTACCTACTTCATTCTAAACAATTCAAACTAAATACTCATCGCAGACAGCTCCGCAAACTCTCCAATCTACCCAGAATCTTAGCCAACCATCAAATACCCTACAGTCCTACACAGGTATCCCGAAATCGTAAGACTGCCGTCCCCTCCGCGAACGGTCGCGATCGAGCGATCCCCTCTTCCCGAAATCTCCGGCGGACAAGCTGAAAGGTTCGGACACCCATGCTTCAGCGGGCCCGAACAGGCGGGTACGTAGCCGGCGATGGCGGGTGGCCACGAAACAATGGAAATCGATACTCACGTTATCGAGAGGTAACCTGGACAGTCTGCTGGCGGCGGAGTGAAGCCTGCTGCCGCCGGAATTCCCGATACTCGAATTGCCGCCGCCGCCGCCGCCGCCGCCGCCTAGCGCACCGTTCCCGGGCGAGTTCGGGGGCGGTCCTTTGGCGGGTAATAAACCGTGGCTGCGATGATCGTTGCTGTTGCCGCCGTGCTTCACCGGCTGGCCGGGGTAGCCGCCCCTGCCCCCGTGCGGCGGTTTGCCGTCCGCCGGCTTCACGAAACCGCCGCGCTGATGGCTCGACGACGAGGAAGACGAGCCGCTGCTCCTCGGCCCCCCGGGTTTCTTGAATTCTTGGGAGGAGGGCGAGCTCCTGGAATTCGAGCCGACCGAGCTCGAACTCGTTCGCAGGGACGAGGTGGCCGAGGACGGGGCCGGGCTCGCCGGCACACCCTCTATGCCGATCAGACGCTTCGGCTCGTCCAGGAGATGCTTCACCAGGGAATAGTTGCCCAGCTTCGATTGGATCTGCTGCGTGGTGCTGTCCTGGGCGTCCGGGTTCACCTGTGAACAGAGGATGCTCGTGGTTAGGCTCTGCGGTCGGATCACGAGTTGTTTTTGGGGACTTGTATATAATCGTGCGTCGCGGATTCGTTGGGTTGAATGAGTATATCAATTTGGAGCTTCTTGCGGTTAGATAGAGATTAAGTGTACCTTTACCGACAGGTTTTTCTGAACTAGAAATGTGGGAATGGATGTATTCGAGTGTGTGGATAGATATATCGATGAGTGATGAATGTGAGCGGTTTTGAATGAATGCTCAAAGCATTGGGGTATTCTAGATTATATTGTATCTAGAATTATTTAGCGTATATAATTTAGCTTCGTTTGCTACAGGTTTTGTATATTTCAAAGAATCTTCCGCAAAGGGTTACACATTTCTTGGAGTTGATGTGTTTCGTTGAATATATATTCTGTGAATAATCAATACGATTTTGAGAATAAAATATGAAACAAATTATACTGAAGTAACAGGGAATAAGGAAGCTACGTGCTGATCTCTTGTTTGAGTAACTGAATCATCCGCGAATTAGTATTAGCGTGGGAATGTAGATATCCGCGAGTAAAGGATTAAATGGATTCTATGACGATTGCAAGTGACGCGAAATCGGTTCGAGGTGAGGATTGCGAGGATCCAAGATCGTAAAGTTGATGTCTCTTAATACCCAGCATCAGTTGCTCGAGCACTGATTACACTTCATCGCGGTTTGTGAATAAACAAGTACATCGCATAAGTACGTTCGAAGTTCGGTCGTAGACACTTCAAGCGTCGATGAAACCTAACGCAAAGTGCCGGGGACGATTCGCGGAGCACGAGAGCGTTCGAGGAGAGTTCAAAGAAACATCAAAACAATCGTTGCTCTCGTGATCAGACTCATCTCTCGGAATAACTCATTTATCAGCCATAATTCCGGCGGGTCTCTCCTCGCCGCTGCGATAACGCGTCCGGCAATAACAATTACTTCGCCGAAAACGACAACGACGCCTGTAGCGGCGCTGTTTCACGCAGATATAATTGAATGATACAGTTTGATTGCTCGTACCGAGCAGTCCATTGTATCCGCGTAACGACGTAACGATCATCGAAATTAGGAAGACGACCGGGAGTAACGCAAGGGTTGAAAACCCTTTATCGTTATCGGGTACATCAATCCGCGACATTACATCAGTTCCATAATTTTTATTTTTCATAACTGTATTGCATAAAGAAACAGAATCGAAATGGAACACTGAAAAACGAGAATTAAAAATAATTCATTCAGAAACCAGCAGTCTTCGATATTCCCTGGTTTCTGTAAATGTGAATAGAACAACTAATATTCTTCAAAGTCAAAGGATTCGTTCCTTTTCCTAAGCCAAAAACACTAACTCTCAATTCTTATTTCTCAAACCCAACCTCATCTCAGAATGTACCATTTCATTCCGCAACAATTTCACTCAGAAACGCAACCGTTGCAACCAGTCCTTCCAAAACCTTTCGAATCCCATCGCCATCGGTACTCCCCGAGAATCGTCGGTCTCACCGTGGAAACCAGCTTAGAGGCGAGAGTCGCTCGGTTTATCAGCCATAATTCACGGCCGGGTAGAGAGCCGTGCGAAAGCGACTCGCGTTGCGTGAGCGCGCGCGGGGCAATAACAATTAATGCGGCGAAACAGTAGCCGGCGAAGTTTACGAGGTTGTTCGCGAGGAGAGGGAGAGATTCGCTGCACCGCCGCAACGGTAGCCGCCTCCTCGCGGTTGCAACGTTGTTGCGAGGTCTGCAGCAACAACAGCCGGT